GGGAGTAAGGTGGGGGTGGATGAATGGAGAAAGAGAGAGAGAGAGAGAGAGAGAGAGAGAGAGAGAGAGAGAGAGAGAGAGGGGGTGTGGGAGATAGAGAAAGAGACAACATTAGTGTAATTGTGTTGCCTGAAAGAAGATAGGCATACTATAGGAATTAGCCAACGTAGAAAGCAATGAACAGAGAAATAGCCAAACAGGACTTCCAGCATAATGTGAATGTATTTATTTCACTCAGCCAGCCAAAGAGATCACAACTCAGGGCCGTTATTTCTGATCCAGCCCAGATAGGCAGAGACCCTGGTGTAGACGCTGGGGAAAGTTCCGCTACACGTGCGCTCCCCCCAGGAAGTGACGCCAGCCAAGATGTTATGTCGTGGTCCACACATCATGGGTCCTCCACTGTCGCCCATACACCCACTCGGTCGCTGCCCGGCTGGAGGACTGGCGTCGTGCACGCAGATGTGTTTGTCCGTGATGGCTTCCCCGGGCCACTCCCGTCTGCACTCAGCCGTGGAGATCTTGGTGATGTTGACTTCGTGAAGCTCCGTGGCGTCCACGAGGGTGTGACCTTCGTTCTGCTTGCCCCACCCAGCCAGCACGCACTCAGTGTTGTAAAATGAGGAACCGGCAGAGGCCAGTTGGGCAATTTGGACGTTCTTGTTGAGAACGGCGAGCTGACTGAGTTTGAGCAGAGCGATGTCGTTGGGGATACCGGACGCCGTGCTGCTGTACTGACCATGCACGGTCACCTGAGAAATGGCGACTTGTTGCTGGTAGTTGTTTGTCTCTCCCAGGGTGATCACTCCCAATTTGACACGCAGTTTGCTTTTTCCCATACCTTCCACGCAGTGGGCGGCGGTCAGCACCCATTGCCTGTCGATGAGCGAGCCTCCACAGATGTGTTTCCAGTAGGTGAAGAAGAAGCTGTCAACCAGGCCTTCCAGAGAGACGATGTACGGGTGGGAGTACAGAGGAGCGGATTCTCCGTTGATGATTCTCTTCTCACACAGGGCGGATGCCGCCAGGCACAGCAAGATGGCGGCGACTAGCTTCATGACGTCACTGACACAGGGACACAGAGGTGGCTGGCTGTTGGACTGTTGGATTGGTGTGGTTACTGCAGCTCGCTGATGGCTCCACAGAACGATGTCCGCCTCTTATATACAGCCGGTGACGTTGTCGGAAACAGGTAGATGTGCTCTGTTTCTGTCCACGTGTGTTTTATATGGCATGACGTTGTCAGGGTAGGTGTGTGACCCTCCACGTGTAGTTTGAGCGACATAAAATGTGTGGCATCGTGGTGAAATCAGGCGCTCGTCAAAAAATGAAACTGACATTTATTGGTCTGCCCTTTGGGAAATTGTTATCAATTCTTATTTTTTTACATTCTTTACAGACATTAAAAATACATTTTTGTGTGGATTTTATTTTAAAAAATAACAAAAAAATAATCGTTGATCAAAGGCACACAAAAACGTAAATTTTAAGTTTCTATAATATGACATTCCGGCCGTGGATGTCACCAACTTTTGGCCACTAAGTGTACCTCTGACGTCGGGTCAACCCCCCACCTCCCTTAATTGAAAACATATCCCCCCCCCTCACCCCGCTATAGAAGATATATTTGTTTTTCGTCCATAACGAGACAGGCGAACAAGCTTTAAGATGATGCCAATAACCCGGCATTGGCCAAAAACTGACGAGCGTCTCATTTTAGAGTGTCGTGACGGTTATCATAAAGCTCTCTCAGCAACGATAGATTAACGAGCCCCCGCCCAAAAGCAGACCTTTACAGACCGCACCTAGATAGTATATTATTAATTCTTTGAAGGCATCTTCCCTATTTTGGTGTTTACGAGAGCCATAAGGACAAGAAAGATAGTTGTGCTTCCATCACGAAGTGAGTCTAATTGTGGCACATGTCAGGTCGGAGCAATGTTGGATATACAGTGCAGTGTAGTCTGCTCTACAAACAGATATCTGCGGGACTGCCGTATCTCTCTCTCTCTCTCTCTCTCTCTCTC